GGACTCACCACTAGGTACACCAGGAATTCTCAGCTAAGAGGGGAATAAAAGGCATAAAATCTCAAAAAGAACAAGAGGGTTGCCAGAAGCTGTCCTTCCACCTAGGCTGTTTGGGTTTTAAGTTTAGCAATGTTGTATGTTTTTTCAAATATTTGGCATAGAGGAAAGAACACTTCCAGTCTGTAGCAGTTTTGTAATAGGAGATTGTGAGTTGTAGACATACATATCAGATTTTCCACTGAATTTCAGCCTCAGTGTTTTCTCAAGGGATTGTTGTAGCCAGTAGATAAGAATTACTAATAAGATACACAAACTATAGGAAACATTAACCTTATCTGAAAACAAGCATAACGAGCATATGAGGGACCAAAGCATCCTGCTGTGTTAGCATCCTTGAGTACCACAAGTCGTCTTTAAGCTCTCAGTCTTTTATCTGTAAAAAAGCTAAATACCTTTTGAGTCATAATTAATTCTGAGTTCTTGTTCCTTTCAGATTATTCCTGGAAAACCAAAGCTGCTCGTGCTCAGTTACCAGGTCCAACTTTCAATTCAGCAGCAAAAAACATGACTATTTTAACTCGCTCACCAACAAGTCAGCCAGTACATGGAAGAACAGACTGGGTGGCCAAATATGGTGGAAACAGATAGAAAATGCCATCCTGTATAGATATTATGTGAGCTGTGTTCAGTTCTCCTGCACTGGAAACCTGACATGCCTGTTTGCTCCAACTTTTTGTAAGACTATGCAATAGTAAAGAAGAAAAAAAAGACCTTGTGTTCCATTACCCATGGAAAAAAATATAATACAATGTAAATCACTGTACGTAGGCTATAAAGTAGGATATACTGAAGTATTGTATAACACATATTGCCAAAACTACTGAGAATTAGATTTCACTTGTTAATTTTCTATAGATGGATCTCCTGTCCTCGTAGTCTTGAAACAACTTTATAGTTGTTTGCCCAATTCAATGTCCATTAGTGGCATAGACTTGCTTTTATGTACAAAAGCAGCTAGAAGCAGGGCTAAAGCAAAGCAAGTAGCACCAGGCTTTCAGGTATTAGCCTGGTTTCTTACCAGAAAGATGAGAGTGAAAGCACAGGTCAGGCTTGGTGAAGAACACCACGTTCATATCCAAGGCCTTCCAAACTCACTTGTACCTAAGAGTTACTTTGGGTCTGTAATGTGCAAATATTTGTAATAGCAGTGAAAACTTAACTGCCTGTAGTATGACTTAAGCGGTCCACTGATAAATACTACACAAGAAAACTTGGTCCATATATGGTCATAGAATGATACGGCAATATTGGAAAATAGCTAAACAAGTACTGAATGCTAGACTTACCTCACCAAGCTGTGGTGAAGCCTAAAAATTAGATTATACTCTTATAATTAACTTATGGCCATTTTTGGTCAAAGATCTGTGGGTATCTGTCTTAAGGGTGTGTCACAGTGACATTTTAAGGAGCCTGAATCACTGCAGTCTGTCAGTCATTTCAAGGATGAACTGGCCAAAAAGGCACAAGTTATCAGTAAACTCCTGTTTCTACATGTCTTTATTGGATGACCAGACTAAACTACAGAAGGTTAATGAGGTATGTGAGAAAGAATATTGGGCTGTTCTTCAGAGATGCTGCTTTCTGGTTTAGATCTTTAAGGCCAACTTAGTTACCTGAAAACACATACAAACTTTAATAACGGAATACCTCAATGTTTATATGTTCATTCAGTACTTTCCCTGACATATATGTTAAGTTTTATAGTAATATCCCAACCTCGCAATGTACAATAACTGGTTTTTAGGATGTTGAGCTCAGCTAATTCTGTTAACAACTGCATTTAGACTAGATGCTTTAGACTTAGTAGTTATATTAAACATGCCTTTTTAAATTACAAAATTTGTACGTTCTTAAAAGATGTAAAGCTCTTAATGATTACTTTAAGTGTTGTAAAAAAAAAGTCTTTGTATAGCTTTTATAACTGCATATAAAAATTTTAATTCCTGTTGTCAACCTAGTGTGCCACAATATATTGCTTACGTTAACTTACTGGAAATCAATTTAATTTAAAATAGTTGTACCAAAAAGTCAAGTATTTTGTTACGAAAATTGCACATAAAGCAAATGCTACTTAAACACTTGAGGAGCTATGTAGGGTTAGGCATATCTAATTAGTAATGCACTAGAGATTTTATTCAATTACCATTGGTCTAGGCTTAAGTATTTGTCATTCCCTTAGTAATAACAGATGTCCCTATACTATTTAAACAATCTTAATTTATCTATATAATGTATCTGTAACTGGCTATGGCAATGAAGGACAACCTCAGACTTTTTGTAACAGGCATAAATGCACTAGTTTTATAATTTAAAAAACCAAGATAAATCAGTCGCTCATTTCTAGTACAAGATGTCAGTGACTTAGTTAAAATCACAGTCTGGTCAAGGAGTTAACTAATAATGTGTCCATAGCTCATATGTCCATAAGACACCGAGAGCATAAAAGCAAGGAGGTGCTATTTATGGCTCTAAATACATCTGGAAGAAACATGCTTTCCTTACCATATGTTAATGAACACTGAAACTGATCTGACGTAACTTTAACAGCCTTTACTTGTCCACAATCAGAGCATGCCAGGTGTTAAAAAATTATTCTTGTAGACAGCAGGAAAAAAGAGTAGTAAGAGGCTGACAGGCTTCATACAGTCATTTTAACTCTGATTCATTGATACACATGGAACTGTTAGTGCAGAAATGCCATCTAATGCTTAAGAAAGTCAATATATGCTGGTGAGGTTCCAAGTACATAAGGCTCCTGGTTTTTGCTCCCCCCTTTGTCTAGATCCCTGCTGTTTCTCCTGAACATGAAAAGTGGAAACAAGAGTTCTACTAGCAGCTCTCCATTTCCATTCAAGCTACTGCTTTCCAAAGCTCATGAAACTGCAGCATGGCTTAACACTTTGGTCTAAGAGTTTAAAAGATTATCAGCCCAATTCCCTGCTTGCTATTGTCTTTAATCCAGTAAAGGACAATTGCAGCCCAAATTTGAGAGCAGCATTATACAATTGGCAATTACAATCATGGCTGTTTTCAGTTTATTGCAGGAGATGCATTTGTTTGCACCTTACTTCCACAGAAGATAACTTCTTCAAAAGCAATACAAAGAGGCAAATAATCCACACAGTAGCTTAAAGACACGTGTCTTCAATGCTGATGTCTGGCTTATTGACCTTTTCAAGCTAGAGCAAAGACATTCGGACACTTGCACACCAACACTGGGTCCACAACCTCAGATTAGGCACTTAAACCAGTGATTAATAAAAAAGCTGTCTGCTGTCTTGCACATCCCTTGTTTCCCTTTTTTCCTACAGGGAGATAAGAGGAAAAAGTAAATGCAGGTGAGCACCTGAAGCTGAACTCTGCAGGCTGATGAATAAGGGCTCTAGGAAGGGGCCCGGAGTACAGTTCCCCACCCTAAGTGCTCTCACTGCCTGTGCACAAGCCAGCTCTAACCCAAGTTGTGTGGCCTAGGACCAGGCTGCTGGCAACAGGGCTGTGAGAAGCAGGGCTCATCACCCTTTCCTCTGCAGCTGCAGTGATAGAATCACTGATTTGTTTTGGTTGGAAGGGAGAGTGCAATATGTTACCTTCCTGCTAAGGTACTAATCTGACAGAGAACTCAGAGCAACTCCAGTCTTGGTAATCTAACAGATCAAACCCACTGCTTCCATCTCTCCTGGTATCAGACACCCAAGGAAGGCTGAGGAAATCAAAGCTCAGGACCTGTGCAGAAAGGGACGTTAAGTTAGATCAGAAAAGGGATACATTAGCATCCATGTGTAGCTCCCAGGATTACTTCTGCATGGCAGGTTTATATTTAAAACTGTTTCAGGCATTAAGGGAATCACCTGAGGACAAAGATCAGCAGAGCCAGTCTTCAAATAAAGTTTCATGGAGCACTTTTCAAACCTGAACTAGATTATTCCTCTCAGGAAAAGGAAAAAAAAAAATATATATTTTCATGTAACACTTGTCTGCATATATGGTCTGTGTGCTTTTGTTCTCTACACTTCCTCCTAGTTAATGGAATTTTTCTATTTACAAGTCACTAGATTCAGGGAAGGGAAGAGAGATCATTTTTGCAGTTCACATTCACAAATACATGCAGACACCCTGCAGGAAAGGCACCAAACAGTATCCATCCAGATGAATGACTGAAGAAAAAAAAAAAAAAGTTGGGCAGCATGCAAAAGTTTGCAGTAATAATTTGTTGGTTTATTTAGAATAACATTTTAACTCTCATGAAATGCAAACTATGGCTACAATGCAGCATTGTCTAACAAAGCACAATTTTTATTTATGAATAATAATCTGTAAAAGTGAAACAAATGACATTCAGCTGGTCACCTCTGCTTAGAAATAATTGCAAGTTACAGGTTTGCATTGTTTGCATTACAGCAACCTGCTCCATTATTGTGCTTTGTGGGACCAGGTTCTAATGCACAGTGCTGGGAGAGCAAAGTCCCTGACTGACAAACCTCATGACTGGATAAACTGGCAGGGAAGTGGAAGGGGACTGGTAACATAATAAGCTTGTTAATTATGTTATTAATTACCAGTGACAAATTGGCAACTCCTCTCCCTTTATTTTAGAGATACAGATTATTTTAGAATGACAAATCCAGATGTACATTTAAGCTTCAATCCTCCAACTGTCTGTATGCAAGTGCCAAGAGGTCCTTGCCTAGGAAGTTGCAGGGCTAGAAGCTAAACTAATTCTATGTTCCTATTTTATTGCTTTGCAGTGCAGAAAACATTAAGACAAATACCACTTGGGAAGACATAACAAGGGCTCTCAACATCGGTCCTTTAAAAGCACAATCCATATGCGTTAAGGTATGAAAAATACAATGCACAGATAGCAGTGCTGTTTCCACTTTTGTACAGCACACTTATGCAGTTGCATTTTCAGGCTTCTCAATCACATCTCTTCAAGTGACTTATGGCTTAAGAGGCTTTTCCATCATCTGCAATCCAAGCCGTCCAACCATCAGTAAACTGTTGAACAGAATACTTGTTACAAAAAAGAAAAGAGCAGAGGGAAAAATCTCATATAGAACAGGAGGGAAGAAAAAACATTTGATATGATTTCATTTAGCAGAACTCCAACAGAAGTTTTTCACAGAACTCAGCACGTAACATTTTAAAACAACATCATCCACAGATAAATAAAATGCTTATTCAAAAATACAAACAAGATCAAAAGTCAAGTAACTACCTGGCACCAGCAACTATCCCAGGCATTGCTTTTCTAGAGTTGTAAAATCTCATCCCCATAACAGCAGACAAGGTTCCAGATGCCACTGTTGAAAAGAAGCACAGTCAGAAACATTTGAAATAGAAATACCAGCACAGCACTGCAAAGCTTTGACATTTAGCAGCGCCAACCAAACAGCCCTATGTCTATAGACAGAAATGCCTGCCTCTCCACAAGGAAGCATATCCCATATCCAAACATTATACTTCTTTTTGTTAAACATTTGAGTTGCTGCAAGGTTTTCAGCAGCTTTGATAAACATGTTCCACTGCTCATTAGAAACAAGCAGATCTCATCAGGGTTGAGACCACTGTCTAACCTCCCACATCCTCCATTCCTCTCGGAAGATCACTGACTCTCCTTCAGTTTCTCCTAACTTGCAGAACAATGATTATTTCTTTGAATACAGATAGACTCAAAACTGCCAGAAAGCTGGGATGGTGATGAAGTTCACTATGTGGGAGGCAAATATTATTACAGTTCCCATTTCTCCGTGATGTTCTGAACTGGAAGGTGACACTGAATACTACATCTAGAAATAAAAGCACCCCCTTTGAAAATCTGAATTAGCAAACAACAAGCAATCTAAGAAATCAAAACTGAAAGAGTCTCAAACATTTTAAACATTACTTCAAATTATTTAATCTCTAAATGTGGGGAAAATCTCATCTGTATTCACATAGCAGTTACAGGGGTGTTGTTTCTTTGAAAAAGAAATGCAGTAGAGGTGTTGTATACCTCTCTCCAAAGCTTCAAGTTTGTTTGCATCAGACAGGGCAAAAGATATTCTGAAGAAACTGTGTCAAGGTTCTTTTTCTGGATTTCTACCCGTGATGTTCTGTCACCAGCCCAATACTCAGCAGGAGCCACAACTGCACATAGCAGCAGGGCTGAGGGGGAATGGATGAATGAAGAGTTGTACTAGACTGGGACACAACACTGCTTTCAGCAGGTTCACTTGAAAGCACCACATCAGAGGATATACAGAAGCTGCTCATCTTTCTGTCATGACACTGGCAAAAACCTCATGCTGGAGATGCACAGTCATTCCCACCGCATGCCAGAGTGGAGGAGACAGTTCACAAATGGAAACCTTGCTTCACATTGAGCTGTTTTCCATTCGATTCCTTACTGACAAGGCAGTTTGGCCCTCTGCAGTATCTACCAGGGGCTTCATAAAGCCTTTCAGCACATTATATTATCAAGTCCTATTGGTTTTAAAAAGTCCTGCATCACTACAATGCTAGAATATCACAACACTAATAATACTATGACATAGCTACAGAACTAGAAGAAACCTCAAAAGCTCATCTAGGCCAACCTAGTGCCCAAAGGCAAGATCAACTCCTGACAGGTACTGGTCTAACCAGATAATAAAGTCCTGAAGTGACAGAAGTGCCTGAGGTTCTCCTGATCTCATCCAGTGCTTCATAATACTTTTCACTGTCATTTTATCCTTCTCCTTCACCTGAAGGGTTTAACAGTAAGCTAAGCCCTATTCCGGTCCCATCTACCACAAGCAGGGAGAACAGTCTGTTCCCTCCTTTATTTTATACACTTCAGACTGTTTCTTCCACAGTATGTGATGCATTAAAACACACACTGCTCTTTCTCTGAGACGCCCGTGCAAACCAGTCAAGCCACATACTGCTTTTCACACTGCTGTCACTATTACTAAAATGCAGATTCCGTGGCCGTCGGCTAAAAACGCTGCATCGCAACCAAACGTTTTCCACACGTGCCCCTCCATTAGTTTAGCACGGTGTTTAATCTGGCAGAGGAGATGGGTATTTCTCACCCACTCTGGCTTTCAGAAGGACAACACAGGTCTCAGAAGCAGGCACCCTGCTCTTTACACAAACACCTCCTGGCTACGGGCAGGAGGCCCTGCCAGCACTTAGAACATTGTCATTTAAAAAAAGGGGAGAACAGATCAGCTGAAACACGCTAGAAAAAAAAAAAAGGTTACTCTACCCACTGCTACCAGGAATGCTTAGTAGGTGGGTGTCCAACAAACTTACCGAGGGAAAGCCACACGTTCCTGGGATCTTTGGACTGCTGGTAAGCGCCTAGTCCTGCTAAGCCGCCAAAGAGGAGACCAGCAGCCAGGGAAGGGACGCTGCCTTAAATAAATCAAAAACAAAGCGTTCGGTGAAAGAACGGTATAAAGACAGAGCCACAGGGGTTCGAAGGGACCTGGAAAGACCCCCCAGTCCAACCCCCCTGCCAGAGCAGGGTCACCCAGAGCACATCACACACGAGCGCATCCAGGTGGGGTTTGAATGTCTCCAGAGAAGGAGACACAACCTCCAGCCCTGCATGGACAGCCTGCTCATCCCTTCCATGGGGAGCAGCCCTGCATGGACAGCCTGCTCATCCCTTCCATGGGGAGCAGCCCTGCATGGACAGCCTGCTCATCCCTTCCATGGGGAGCAGCCCTGCATGGACAGCCTGCTCATCCCTTCCATGGGGAGCAGCCCTGCATGGACAGCCTGCTCATCCCTTCCATGGGGAGCAGCCCTGCATGGACAGCCTGCTCATCCCTTCCATGGGGAGCAGCCCTGCATGGACAGCCTGCTCATCCCTTCCATGGGGAGCAGCCCTGCATGGACAGCCTGCTCATCCCTTCCATGGGGAGCAGCCCTGCATGGACAGCCTGCTCATCCCTTCCATGGGGAGCAGCCCTGCATGGACAGCCTGCTCATCCCTTCCATGGGGAGCAGCCCTGCATGGACAGCCTGCTCATCCCTTCCATGGGGAGCAGCCCTGCATGGACAGCCTGCTCATCCCTTCCATGGGGAGCAGCCCTGCATGGACAGCCTGCTCATCCCTTCCATGGGGAGCAGCCCTGCATGGACAGCCTGCTCATCCCTTCCATGGGGAGCAGCCCTGCATGGACAGCCTGCTCATCCCTTCCATGGGGAGCAGCCCTGCATGGACAGCCTGCTCATCCCTTCCATGGGGAGCAGCCCTGCATGGACAGCCTGCTCATCCCTTCCATGGGGAGCAGCCCTGCATGGACAGCCTGCTCATCCCTTCCATGGGGAGCAGCCCTGCATGGACAGCCTGCTCATCCCTTCCATGGGGAGCAGCCCTGCATGGACAGCCTGCTCATCCCTTCCATGGGGAGCAGCCCTGCATGGACAGCCTGCTCATCCCTTCCATGGGGAGCAGCCCTGCATGGACAGCCTGCTCATCCCTTCCATGGGGAGCAGCCCTGCATGGACAGCCTGCTCATCCCTTCCATGGGGAGCAGCCCTGCATGGACAGCCTGCTCATCCCTTCCATGGGGAGCAGCCCTGCATGGACAGCCTGCTCATCCCTTCCATGGGGAGCAGCCCTGCATGGACAGCCTGCTCATCCCTTCCATGGGGAGCAGCCCTGCATGGACAGCCTGCTCATCCCTTCCATGGGGAGCAGCCCTGCATGGACAGCCTGCTCATCCCTTCCATGGGGAGCAGCCCTGCATGGACAGCCTGCTCATCCCTTCCATGGGGAGCAGCCCTGCATGGACAGCCTGCTCATCCCTTCCATGGGGAGCAGCCCTGCATGGACAGCCTGCTCATCCCTTCCACAGGGAGAAGCCCTGCATGGACGGGCTGCTCATCCCTTCCATGGGGAGCAGCCCTGCATGGACAGCCTGCTCATCCCTTCCATGGGGAGCAGCCCTGCATGGACAGCCTGCTCATCCCTTCCATGGGGAGCAGCCCTGCATGGACAGCCTGCTCATCCCTTCCATGGGGAGCAGCCCTGCATGGACAGCCTGCTCATCCCTTCCATGGGGAGCAGCCCTGCATGGACAGCCTGCTCATCCCTTCCATGGGGAGCAGCCCTGCATGGACAGCCTGCTCATCCCTTCCATGGGGAGCAGCCCTGCATGGACAGCCTGCTCATCCCTTCCATGGGGAGCAGCCCTGCATGGACAGCCTGCTCATCCCTTCCATGGGGAGCAGCCCTGCATGGACAGCCTGCTCATCCCTTCCACAGGGAGCAGCCCTGCATGGACAGCCTGCTCATCCCTTCCACAGGGAGCAGCCCTGCATGGACAGGCTGCTCCAGCCTGGGTCCCCCACAGGTCCTGCCAGCAAACCTGCTCCAGGTTGGGTTTCTCTCCATGGGCTGCAGCCTCCTTCAGGCATCCACCTGCTGTGGGATGGGGTCCTCCGCGGGCTGTAGGTGGGTATCTGCTCCCCTGTGGTCCTCCATGAGCTGCATGGGGACAGCCTGCTTTGCCGTGGCCTTCTCCAGGGACTGCAGGGGAACCTGCTCCAATGCCTGCAGAATTCCTCCCTGCCTTCTGCCCTGACCTGGATGCCTGCAGGGATTTTCTCTCACGTTTTCTCATGCTTTTCTCACCATTGCTGCTGCTGCACGGTGTTTTTACCCTTTTTAAAATACGTTATCACAGAGGCACCACCAGGGTCACAGATGGGCTCAGCTTTGGCCAGTGGTGGGGCCATCTTAGAGACAGATGGAGCTGTCTCTGTCTGACATATCCACAGCTCTTGCTGTCTTCTCACGGATGCCACCACTGCAGCCCTAGTTACAATAACCTTGCCATGTAAGCCACATACAGATGCCAAAAGAAAGCACCTGGATTCCCCTGCAGCTGCTGAGCACAACGTGCATGTGCTGGGTGATGGTGATGATGTGCTGGTCTCTTAACACAATTCCTGGCATCACATGGAGAAGCCACCCTGACACTGCACTGAACGCAGTCACAGCTCGTGAGGGAGGGTGCAGCTCTCCTGGTCTGGGGCTGCAGAGGTGCCTGGGACTGGCTGGCTGGAGAGCAGGTTTGTGGGAAAGGCCTTGGGCATTTCAGGGTGTCACAAGAAGTTGCCTGTGAGCCAGCAACATGCCCAAGCAGCAAAGAGATGGTACCCTGGGCTGCGTTAGGCAGGGTGAGGGAGGTGATCCTTCCCCTCTGCTGTATGATGACACAGCTGGAGTCCTGGATCCAGTTCTAGGCCCACTGGTGAAAGGCAGATATGACACACTGAAGCAGGTTCAGCAAAGGGCTGTGAAGATCATCAACAGCTTGGAGCATCTTTCATATAAGAAGTGGTTGAGAGAGCTGGGACTGGTTAGCCTGGAGGAGAGGAGGTTCAGAAGTGTCTTACCAATATGCATAAATCTGATGGAGAAGAACAAAGAAGACAGAACCCAGGTCTTCTCAGTGGTATCGATTAATAGGACGAGGGGTAGTGGACACAAGTGGAAATACAGGAAATTCCATTTAAACTTAAATAAAATAATTTTCACTGTGAAAATGGCCAAACACTGAAAGAGGCACTCGGGGAAGTTATGGAGCCTCCGTGTGTGGAGATACTCAAAACCCAGCTGGACACAACTGAGTAAACTGACCCTGCTTTGAGAAAGGCAGGTTGGCCTCAGTGGATTCCCCTGCAGCTGCTGAGCACAACGTGCATGTGCTGGGTGATGGTGATGATGTGCTGGTCTCTTAACACAATTCCTGGCATCACATGGAGAAGCCACCCTGACACTGCACTGAACGCAGTCACAGCTCGTGAGGGAGGGTGCAGCTCTCCTGGTCTGGGGCTGCAGAGGTGCCTGGGACTGGCTGGCTGGAGAGCAGGTTTGTGGGAAAGGCCTTGGGCATTTCAGGGTGTCACAAGAAGTTGCCTGTGAGCCAGCAACATGCCCAAGCAGCAAAGAGATGGTACCCTGGGCTGCGTTAGGCAGGGTGAGGGAGGTGATCCTTCCCCTCTGCTGTATGATGACACAGCTGGAGTCCTGGATCCAGTTCTAGGCCCACTGGTGAAAGGCAGATATGACACACTGAAGCAGGTTCAGCAAAGGGCTGTGAAGATCATCAACAGCTTGGAGCATCTTTCATATAAGAAGTGGTTGAGAGAGCTGGGACTGGTTAGCCTGGAGGAGAGGAGGTTCAGAAGTGTCTTACCAATATGCATAAATCTGATGGAGAAGAACAAAGAAGACAGAACCCAGGTCTTCTCAGTGGTATCGATTAATAGGACGAGGGGTAGTGGACACAAGTGGAAATACAGGAAATTCCATTTAAACTTAAATAAAATAATTTTCACTGTGAAAATGGCCAAACACTGAAAGAGGCACTCGGGGAAGTTATGGAGCCTCTGTGTGGAGATACTCAAAACCCAGCTGGACACAACTGAGTAAACTGACCCTGCTTTGAGAAAGGCAGGTTGGCCTCAGTGCCCTCCAGAGGTCCCTTCCAACCTCAACTGGCCTGTGATTCCATGTGACTCAAGCTTCATTATGTCCTTGCAAACTTCCCAGCCAATCTCTGCCTCCTTCCTTCCCAGCCACACTTTAAGAACTGAGCAGTGAGGTTTGTGCTTGTGATAAGATCTTTCCTGTATACTTTCCAGAAAGGAAAGTATCATGAGGTTCACCTGATTCAAGGAGCAAATTACCTTCTGCCTGGAAGAGCTTGTTCATTAATGTGTGCGCAAAAGTTGACTGATCTTGACAAGTTTCAAGGCCTGCCTGTAGAACAATACAAATGACCTATTGATCAGGATTTCTGCTTTGTGGGGTTTTCTTTCCCCAGCAGCACTGCTGATGGTAGCTGTCCTTGGGCCCAGACATATTTGCAAGGAAAAAAAAAAATAAATCAGAAATCTGAAGCTTGCATGCTGCAAACTTCCAGACCGATCCCTTTACAAGGCAATGAACTTAACTCTAAACTTGCTTCCATAACAGACTCTGAAGAAGAGGTGTGCAGGCCAGACCTTTGTTCTGTTGTGTATGAATTGTTAAGAGACCAGCACAAACATATTTTGACCGAAAGAATGTTAATATGGTTGTCAGGCTTTCACTAAGCAAATAAACCAAAAAAGGGCCACCTATTGAGGTTTTATGAGATATATGGCAAACCAGCAGTTTGCCCCAGGTTATCTGGAGAAGAAGATTTACACTGAAGGAATGATACTTACTAAAACAGTATTTATATCCTAGGTACCTTATCAGCTACCTGATTCACATTCTCAATTAATTCTCTCATGTGCTGTGTTTTCCTTTTCCCACCTTTGTTTTCCTTCTCCCTACTTTTGTCCTGAAATTTTCTGTGTCTTTTCAATTAACCTCCTATTTCAAATGTTCTGGTCTGCTTTGCTCTGAGCTCCATATATCCTCTTAAGACATCTTAATAGTGGGTGCATGGCAAAGACTAAGACTATAGATCATATTTGCTGAAGCTTGCTGTCTTTTGTGGGGACAATGTGACTTGCATTTTTGTGCCATTAGATGCACTGGAAATATTTGTGGTTTAGGTATGAAGTGTTTGCAGTGGAGCCTGAAGCATCCAGCCAATATAGTGCTAATGACTATCTGCAATGACTTGCTGATCAAAAGCAGGCTGGCTCCTTTGTTTAAAGCAGGACCTTTGCTTTTGGTTTGACATACCCAATCACGTCTGGTAGTAAGGTTTAGCTTACTGGATGCCATTGTTTTGCCTTGAGTGCCTATTTCTGGACCTATTTCTAGTGCCTATTTCCAGCCTCTTCAGGTGCCCCTTCCAAAAATTACATTCACACAGCAGCCAGTTTATCATTCCCACAAGTGAGCCTTCATGTTCACATAGCAAACCACCACCATACCACCTTGAAACTTCTGCTGGCAGCCACCAGCTATCAGCTAGCAAGATTTACTAGGCAGGTGTTGCATTCAAAAAAACAGCCACACAATGAAAACATATTCATTCACTTGCAGAAAATTATAACCTAGAATAGCATTTATGAAAAACAAACAAACAAACAAAATAACCTACTAAATCACAGCTGGACAGAAATCTGTGATTTATTTTATTTTTTTTACTCAAACAGGTAATATAACCTAGTCTTAAAATACCTATATTTATTCAGGTCAGAGTACAACATGCTTTAATATCCATTGTTTCAAACTGCCACGCTCATTGCTTCTGCTGTTGGGTGATATTTTGCCATTTGCCCATGGAGTCTGTACTACAATATATAATCCTGTTTGTTCTATGTGCTACTTTAAATATTCACATAAAATGGTGATAATCACAGACTCACAGAATCCTAGGAGTTGGAAGGGACCTCGAAAGATCATCTAGTCCAGCCCCCCAGCTAATGCCTTTATTTTTTTGGGGAAATTTCAATCTTGAGGAATATTCAGCTTAATAAAACAAAGGGGGCAGTTGGTTCCAGACCTCTCAAGTTGGACATTCTGTAACTCCCTTGTTAAAAGAATGACTCTCTGAGGTACTTCTCTCTTCAGCTGCCACCACAGCAGAAAATGAGCAGACCCCTACTCTTCTCACCTCCCCAAAAACCTGAACAGGATTTCCACCAAAGTTCTGCCCTGGAAATAAAGTCTCGGTGCCTTTTCTGCAGGGATCTGCATTATTATGTGTTGGCAGCTATAAATGCAGAACAAGCTGATGGAAGCAGATCCTGCCTGTTCAGACCCTTCCCTGGGGGTTACAAGTTATGCTTCAGGATGTCTGAATATGATGTGTTGTCGTTTCTGAACTGCTGCAGGTTGCACTCAAGTTTTCTAAAAGCCCCTGAAATTAGCACTGGTTTAATAAAATTGATGAAAAAAACGGTGTTATTCAAGGGGTGCTCTTTGACCCATCTTCGCTTGTTCAGAAGAGAGACAGGAGAGCTGCACCCACTCTCCTTAGATTCACTCATCCCAATTTACACCACCTCCTTGTTGCTCACCAGGCCGCTCATCACTGCTGCTAAAATGCCATGTAAATACAACAACATAGCTAGAGGAAGAAGCATTCCTCATTTTGTTTCCTTGCTTTGATTTTTTTCAGGACATAATGACTGAGACCTGTCACTTTTACCTTCTGTTTGCAGTGCAAGTCTGTGGCACACCTGGGCTGCTTTAAAGGGTTATGCAGACTAGGAAGGGAAAATCTGTTCAGATATTTGATGGCCTCCCTCTAGTGGCTGCTGTTGGGGAGTAAAACAGGGCTACGATGAAGTGAACCCCAAAGTTAAGTATGTGCATTAACCATTATATTAAGATGAAAGGAAGGAGGTAAACTTGGGAAGAAGGTTCATGCCATATTAGAATATGTCACAGAATTACTGATTTATTGCCAAAGCTCAATTCCTGCTCTTTCAGTGATTAAAATATTTATTTTGCAGCCTTCTTCCCCTATTATCCATCCCTCCCACCATGTCCTTACATATGATGATCGAAGGATACTAGTGACTCAAAATCTGCACATGGAGAGGTTTGTTGTTTAGGGTTTTTTTCCAGTTACCTGGCCAAGTTAAGACAAATAAGTAGGCCCCCATTTTTCAGACATGGAGAAGGGCTCCTGTGGCTGAAAATCTATCTGATTTTTCTAACCACACTCATTGATCTAGTAAAAGATGCTGTTTTCTCTTACAAGCCCTGTCCCAACAGGTGTTTAAAGAACAGGTAAGACCTGGGAAGTGCAGCCTCTTTATTCAATTTTTGGTACTTTCCTGTCTGTTCTCTGAAGTAAATATCAGCATCTTTGGCAAAATGGTGTCAGTATGTATAGCCAGCAGTTGTGTTCTGGCTTTCAAGATCTTTCTGACTGTGACTCATTAGCTTTTTACTTAACAAATGTGCACACTAGTAATTTAGACATGAGAAGTGCCAGGGATGCGTGACTGTTTATTTTCTTATAGAAAAAGATAGCAATGATAGTGTAGCGAGATAAAAGTTAGGGCTGGAAAACATCCCATTAAAAATGGAAAAAAAGCAAAGCTCCTCCAGCTGCAACAGGAGCTTTGCCTTGGTGTCTCTTTGAATCTCTTGTGCTTTGGCCTGAGGGTGCTAAGTGGAAGGTGAGACCTGCAGGCAGTGTGAGACAAGCCGAGCCAAGCTGCATCTACAGAACATCCTAAAGAAACCTGTCTCATGAGTTTATGCTTCCAGCACCAGCACAAATTAAAACTGCTGCTGCTATTCTCTTTAGTGCTTTTATTGATGTTGTAGCCTGGGGTTTTGCGAGCTAAAAATACCAGTTGGGTTCCACCTGAACCTCACTCTGGGCCAAGGTTCTCTGCCGATGTCTCAGTTCCAGGCACTCCACTGTCAGGGGGTACGTTTTAAGCTCAAACTTATTTGCAAACATGCAGGTGGAGTTAAAAAGCCACTTGAGGTCACCTGTTCCATATACACAAATGCCTCTGACGTAATGGCCTGCCAAAAGAAAAATGAAAAAAGCAACGTCAGAATCAAGGATCCAAATAATTATTTTGGAGAATTTTTGTCTGCAAGGCCACTATAAATAATCTTCTACACAACAAATATGCCAGAAGGCCTAACTCAGTGGGGACAGCTATGAACAACAGGATGCAATGAAGAAAGTTACCTCAAAATAAATAACGAGCAAAATTAGGAGGTAGCTCAGAAAATAAGTCTCATTACTTGAGACTCTTTCTCAGACAAGGCTGAAACACAGCAAAGGGGAATTTCCTTCTGCCAGTGAGGAGAACTCTATACTTTGAGCAATACTAGATTTTCTCCTAACTAATCCTGGGTAGCATTGGTGCGATAGCACTTATTTCAGCATAGCTACACTGACTTGAAACTACTGTAATTGAAGCTGACTGAAGTTCTCAAAAATTTTCTCCTCAACATGAACAACTATATTATGGATGTGGCTACTATCATTCACACAGGGACTATGAAGATGACTCCTTTTTAATGTCTTCTCTCCAAAGTGTTATTTAAAGACTACCTCACATTATGGTTATATCACGCATGGTTATAAATTGTAGTAGTAGAGGAGCAAGTTGAGTGTTTTTCTCTTTATGAACAAGAAGAAGAAATGGAGGAACATGTACAGATTACCATGACAACCTCCGTGCCCCTCTTCCATATCAATCCACTTCACTGCTTTCAGGTCACCTTCCCATGATGCGTTGGGCATGGAGCCCGGGACACCTGCAGTTAGGTAACAGAAAATTATAATTAGTTCTTTCAATAGCTATGTGCTCAGGTTTATGCCCACTTTCTGGGACCTTTCTCCACAGAAATGGGATTAATTACTTAGAGATATGTATCAACAGTTGCTTGACTGCAATCCTTGTTGTCAAGTTTCATCATTAAAAGCAGCTGTCATGATATAAACAAGATGTCAGCCCAAGATAACAAGACATTTCACTTGAGAAATAAAATCTCTCTTTTTTGCAACAGCCTCAACATGATACTGCCTGCATGTTCAATCACTCATGTCACCTTCACAGTCAGCACTGCCCTCCAAGGGCTATTTGAGCACTGGGCCACTGACACATATTGTATGCCACCTTCACATCAATTTAGTAGTAAATATTTTCTGGTATTTGTCTTTTTTTAAAAAACAGGACAAATTCAAGCATGCTATAAGTGGATGGGGTTATTGGCACTCACTTATAGCCTAAAATGTTCTATAAAAATAGATGTAACTCTAGGAAGATTCCAGGACCTATCTAGGAAATAAACTGGTAAGATGACCTCTCTTCATCAATAAATTAACAAGTTTTGTTATAACCTGTCAAACATTAATTTTAAGTAATTCAGGGGGAAAATGCTGAACACACAGTGTTTAGTATTTGCTTAAGAGTAAACAGGCAACATGTATGCAATGTGTAGGCAACTGCTGTGAGTCCAGGAAATATCATTATCTTCAGTGTAAGGCAGTAGCCTTAGGATGAAGTCTCTGCCTTTGAAAACAAGAGCTGATCAAGTACAGCTGGGAAACCTCCTTGCCTGATTTGTGGTGCAGTATCATATTTGATGCAGTGAAAGAAGTTTATTAGTTATTTATCATTAAACTGTCTTCAGAATACAAAAAAGAAAAAGAAATACACCACCTAAAATCCAAAGGTATAAAATAATGATCACTTTTTATGAACTCATAACTTTCAGCAAACTTTATCTTTCTTATTGGATCAATCAGGTGCTGGAGAAGAAAACAATGAGACTGACTGTGTAACTTGGAAAAGCCCCAGTTTCTCACTGTAGCACAAACAGTTATATATAACTTATTTGCCTGCTTGGAAAAACTGACCATCTTTCATCCATTGCTGCTCAGCAAGCAGTGACTGCAGTGCTGTACCTGAGCTATCAAAAGGCAGAACAGGAAACATGGGGAGCCAACCTGCAACAAAAAATGCAGACATTATTGCTGCCTTCTCCTAAAGAAGCTGAAAGCAAAAGAAAAGACTTACTTGCTGAAAAGCAAAGAATAAATGCTTTTTAACAAATGCAGCAGAAGTGCCAGCACTGACTGGTGGCAGTGGCCAGGGAGGAGAGGATTTGTGGCAACCTGGCCTGTCATTTGTACTGACTCTGTATACTGAAATTTTCCTTGATTGACAATGAGATGACAACAAAGCTTTTTAGAGCTTGTACAAAATGCATAATTAAGCTTTAGAGTTATGAGACCTGTGCAAAGATAAGGAACCTAAACCCTTCAGAAATTATTTCAACTACAATAAAATAGACATTTTTTTCTCCAGTTCTGACCCCTCTCTTTCTCTAAGGCCAGTTAGACCTCTTCCTGATTTTCATAACTTAAAGTGTGTATCAATAGAGACTATTTTGCAGGTTAACTACGATCCTAAACACAGTGATTTGCCAGCAGTTCTGTAAAGCACAATTTCAGCTGGCACCTGCAGCAGCCACAAGAAACCCTTGGTGTTCAAGCAGTAGCTGAGGGAGTGTCATTGTCCCAGCCTTGGCATTTTCTAAAAATTAAAGACAAAAGTAAACTGAGATTTTGTTACTTCCCCTCCTTGCTGAATGGCAACAAGTACAGCACCTCTACAGTTACTGTTATGCAACAGCTATTTTGCTTGTGAAGGACCTAAACACACTGTATAACATCCTGGGGGGTTCTTTTTCGGGTTTTTTTGTTGTTGGTTTTTTTTTTTTTAGAAATTGGGAAAAAGAGTTAAACATCAGAGGGATCTTTTTCTGTTTGCTTTCTGTGTATTTAAGGACAGCTGCTCCTGGTAGGTAAGGATGGTTGTTTGCAAACACCAAGTCATGATTTTCATACTGCGTCCAAATAGACAGTGTGATCCAACAGCAGAACCACCATAGTCCCTTGCCATAACCAAAGAGGCATGGCTGCTAAAGCCAGAACTTTATGACCTTATTTCCCCCCCTCGGTGTATTGGTCCATTATCAAATAAAATAACAAGACAACAAGTGTGGTTTTGTCCTGGGGAAAATTCGGAAAATATTACTCTTCTGCAGAAAGCATTAAGCTAAATATAACACTTCGTAAAAGACAAAAAGAGTCAGTGATGGCAGGGGATAAGCACTGTAAATGGCCTGGGATGTGCATTACCATCCCAAATTCAAAATCTGTTCATAACAGATGGCAGTAAATGTAGTGTGTGGAAAGACTTGGAAAACGCTGACACAGTGGGAAAGCAGAAAGATGCCTGACAAAACAGGAACTACCCCAGGACATCCACAAAAGCACTGGAAGGCAGTGCCTTCCAGGAATGCAAAACTACTGGCTTCTCATTACTCAGCATCTCCCAGATTGAGTAAAGTAGGCATTTTTTTAAGTTAATTAAAGACCGGAGGAAAGTGTAGCTCAGCACGGGGGGGAGGAGGGGTGGAAATGAATTTACCATGTTTTCCTTTAAAAATCTGTTTGACCAACTGATTCAGATTTGGAAGCTGTTTTGGGTTCCTCTTCTTATAAATACAATTTGTTTGACAAGTGGTGCTGATGGTGAAAGTTAATATAAACTTTGGCATTATTTCCTCACTCTACTTTGTCCAGCTCTCATCACCCACTTCATCGAGGTTAGCAGAGTTTTGTCCCTGAAAACAAGGAGGGTGGAAGAACCATTTCATGGGCAGCAGTACTGAGCACTGCTGTAGAAAGAAATTTGCTGCCACCAGGTCTTAGAAATGGCCACAAACACAACAGGACTGCTCAGGTGTGAAGACAGCCACAAGAGTCTGGAACGACAGGCCAGCCCCTCCAAGGCCTTTCATTTCATGCCTTGCTTTGGTGGCAGAGTTTTGGAGGCAGGAAAAACTAGCTCTGCTTCAAGCCAAAGGCAGTTCAACCTGCTTTTCTGCTAAGCTTATCCTGTTTTTTTGCCATGGCAATCCCAGAGAGAGCTGATCTGCATGTGTTGCCCCCAAGAAGCCACCCACTCCCTTTCCTCCTTGCATGGCTGTGAGCCACTGTGTTGACATTTTGTGACACAAACATAAACCAACATAGGGCTGGAACTCTTGCAGCATAGAAGACTGCCTTATTTGCCTTGACCTTCTAATTCCCATACCTGTAATCTCAGGATCAAACCAACACATCAGTTCAAACCTGGCTGCCAACAGGCGAGTCTTCACCAGTCCCCTGAAACACCCTGTGCTTCCTCGTTAGCACCACTCTCTAGAAAAGAGGACAACTTCTTTACATCTGTGTGCCATCAACTGATCCATCCGAGCTTTTCTCCTGCACTTTATAAGCTGGTGAACAGGAATATGGACCTCAATAATCTGTCCATAATGGTGTACACATCACCCTTGGGAAAATTATTCTGCAACACCTGGTTGAAACCAGCCATAATTTTTGCTGGAATGTGGGGCCATGTATTTATGTTTGGGAAACATGCAGGGCTTGAGGTATACCATGTATAGAATGATAGAATTAAAGAATCATCAAATGGTTTGGGTAGGAAGGGGCCTTTAAAGGTCATCTAGTCCAATCCCTTTGCAATGACCAGGAACATCTTTACCTAGATCAGGTTGCTCAGAGTCCTGTCCAACCTGACCTTGAATGTGTCCAGGGATGGGTCTTCTACCACCTTTCTGGGCAACCTGGGTCAGTGTTTCACCAGCCTCATTGTATTTTTTTTTCCTTGTATCTATAAAAAAATCTGCTTTCTTTTAGTTTAAAATCATTACCCCTTGTTTGTCCTATTGCAACAGGCCATATCAGTAAGAAGTGCATACTCTCTCTTCTATGAGTGAAGGCATGCAACCCACCCATGTGTGAGAGGGACCTGGATATTTACAAACCCCTTTGGTGGCTTGTGAAGAAGCAAGATAGTAGAAGGAAATACACATGGGACTAATTTAGACAGTATGGCCAAAGAGAGTGGAAGCTGCATCCCTAAGTCTTCATGGGGTAGAGCAGCTGCTGCTAAGCAGGAAGGCATGTGGTTTTCCTGAACTCACCACACTGCAAAGTCCACCAGTCCTAGGCACTTCCCTTACCTAGTCACAGGTGCCATTTCCACCAGAAGGCAGCCCAGACAAGTGGATAAATCTCTGGGATGTCAGCCTCTAGGTCAAGGAGGCTCAGTACACCTTCCTTGCTTGCCACTAGTGCTGCCAACATGGGCTGTCATCTGCCTGGGTGTTTCTCCATGTGAAACAACAGGACTGGTGGCAACACACTGGTGGGCACCACAGAGAGCTGCAGCTGGCAACACCTCCACAGAGAGGTGAGCCATGGTGGCTGCCACAAAGAGCTGGCACCACACCCTATTTTAAGTTATATCTTCTCAGATGAACTACAATATCTGAATGATGGATAGAAGACAAGAGTAATTTCTCAGGAAAATCTGCCATAAAGAAGGTCTACTTGTGATTGCTGTGACTGTGTTGCAACACCTTCCCTTAAGCAGGTTTTTTGAAAGAAGAAGATTTTGATGATGAGATTACGACAGCTTTGCAGGCATGAGACTCAGTAACAGTCACAGGAAAATCACTATTTTTAGTATCTTATTCTTACAGGAAGTTCTTGCTCAATCAGGAAGTCTCATTAAAATAATGAAGGACATGATCAAGAGAATAAGGATTAGTTACATGAGCAATGCTGCAGACATAGGTACAAAGTACTTTTTTTTCTAGAACATGGCTTTTTCAACTAGTGTCACTGTCTGGAATCATATTAAAGAACTTCTGCCTTTCTCTCTGTCTTTTGA